GCAGGGACAAAGAGCAAGGGTTTTGCGCCAATCACCCAAATTTAAAGTATCTATTTACATTAAGGGTGTGTTTGGATATCAATATTTTTCATGAAAAATATTTTTTTTAACTCAAATTCCCACTTTTGTATCGTTAGATTGGCATTTTTCTCCATGTGAAATATTTTCCTATTTTTGGTAACGTGATCATATTTATATCAAAATCAAGGAAAACATTTTCTTTAAAAAAGTAAAATTTTATTTCCCAACAAGCTCTCTCTCTCTCTCATCTATCAACTATTTCTCATATATCCACCAATAAAAAATTGACAAGTATAATATTTTCATACTTGCAATCAAGCGCACCATAAATTCAAGTTTGTTTCAACAACAGTAAGAGTAATGCTATTTAGCACCACTTGAGTTATAATCTCAGTCCATGCGATGCTAAAGTAACATTAAATAATAGGCTAAATGAAAGAAGTCATTTAATTTTTAACCATAATTTAATGGCATATTATTGTCACATAGATATAGTGGGGTTAAATAGCATTATTTTAACAACAATCCATTAAATGTAATCTAATGCAGAATGTAGATTTGCATATTTATCAGTCATATAGGAATCATATTTTTCTTAGTGCATTATGTATAATTATAGCAAGTAAACTTGATTGCTTCTGTGCTCCTATGGACAATTTCGTACTAAATTGATTTGGGATATCAGATTCTTCTACGCGTTAAGTAATCCTAAAAGAAAGTAGGTAACGATTGTACCTTGTTTAGAATTTGAAAATCCTAGAAAAAAGCAGTCAAGAATTTATTAACCTATAGCAACCAATCAGTCACCTTGTTTTTGGACTTGCAATTGAACATGTTTTTGCACGTTTGAAAATTAAAAAATCATTCTAATTTTAAGCAAGCCAATACAATCTTACCACATGTACGCTTTATTTGACATTAAGTTTTGACATTGTATCATTTATCGTTCAATGAATGACCAGTTTTAAAATGAAAAACACTTTCCCGCCCATATATTTTTGAATTTGCAAGCAATGTCAAACTCCATGTACAACATGGAGTGTACAAGGAGCATTATTCAGTTACTTAAACCAGCAAAACAGTTGATGTGGCAAAATGTTGCATTGCAGACAATAAATCAAAACCCAGGAGCGTTGAAAAGAGAAAATCAAATAATGTTAGATCTACCATGGAGGTCATAGGATGAAAGATGTCAACTGGCAATTTAAAGTAATTGATGGAAAAAAAAAAAACGCATTAGCCACAATTCACTGGTGCTCTTCCTTTTTCTTCAGTGATTTTGATGGGTGATTCAACCAATCTCTCCTCGGATAATTTCTCCATCTTTGCTTGGTGAGCATAGGCCCTCCTCTCTTTGAACGTGTGATTCTTTCATGTTCTTTTCCACTGGTACTGATGCAACACACCCTTCCTTCTCAAGTCGTGATCTCATTTGCTTATTTGTATAAGCAGGTGACTCTACCTTCTCCTGGAAAGTGTCCGACTTAACACTCTCTTCCTTGAGTTCTTCCTTCTCAAGTTGCAACTCCAATTGCTCATTCATGTAAGCAGGTGACTCAAATGACTTATCCTTTTTGGTGGAAGAGTCCAAGGGAAAATTGACACTCTCTTCCTTGCACTCTTCCTTCACAAGTTGTGACTCCAATTGCTCATTCATATAAGCAGGCGACTCTACTGAGTTATCCTTCTTGCGGGAAGAATTTGAGGATGAATTAACACTCTCTTCCTTTTTGTTTGGAGACTGCATGGAGCTGTCCTCCTTGGTGGGCAAGCCTTGGCTCTCTTGTTTTTGCTCAGTCAAATCTGCAACCTCTTTGCTGGGAATTGCCTTCGGGTTGACTTTCGGAGATCCAAGCTTTGCTTCAAGATCCTTAACCAAAACTGTTAAAGATCTTGCATCACGACATGCTGATAGTTTCTCAGGAGATGAAAGCTGCCATCGGAATTAAAGAAGAATTACATGCTCATTCAATGAATAAACTGAGATGTCAATTTGCCAAAACAAAGTTTATAGGAAGGTGGATGATGAAGAAGAAAAAGTTACACTGCTGATGTAATTGAATGAAGGTTTTTGAATCTTTTACCATCTTACCTTCCCTAGACCCTTGCCAGAGCTGTGCAGGTCCAAGTTCACCTGCGTTCCATGTAATCATTGTCTAAAAATTTAGAAAAATTACCGGGACATGTCCACAATCTTAGAGAATTTCAATAGATTCGTCAGGTCACCTTCATGTTTGTTTAATTAAGAATCTGTTCAACATTTATGATTCCAGTAGAAAGTGTAATTTGGGAAAGAAACAATTTATGCTTAGAATGAACTTCAGTTTTAGCTAGGCAGGATCTATTAATGTAAATATTTATATTTTTTTGATTGTGCACAGAAGTTGCAGAGATTCTAGAAAGCAACTCAAAATTATGCACTACCTTCAAAAGCCTACCTTTTCCAATTCTTCAACCCTTCCTCTCAGATCATCTGCTGATGTTTCCTTGTGAATAACTTGAAGAATGTACAGCAAGTGAGAGGGGAGATTCTCAGACCGGTGTTTATCCATTTTAATGTGAGGAACAGTAGACTGGCAACCTACGGAATAGAAGGGACACTTCACAAGTTTCATTGGACAAACGGTAATGCAATGCCTGTCCATTTCGTGCCTCATAATGTAATCTGAGCAGTTCTGCTCACATGGAAGTCTTTTAAAAGGACAGATCGAATCATGATGGCCCTTCTGAGCAGCAATAAATGTAGCATCACACCCCTCGCTCATGCAGGTCATGGTCCTAAAACTGCAATGTGATTTATGCTCTTCTAGCTCTTCTGAAGATTTAAACTTCATGCCGCAGTGAAATATGTTTTTGAAGTCAATGTTCTTTAGTAGCGTCTGTGCAACTGACTCCCTCCTATTTAACAACCAAAAACCATTTATTTCCATCTCTTGAACTAAATCATCTATCATATCTTCTCTTCTTTCAGTCAGTACCCAGCCTGAAACCCGACTAAGAAAATTCCCCTTTGAACTTGCAAAATCATCAACAAAATCTGAAATAATATCAAAAGGATTTTCAGACACTTCTGCATCTGGACCACCTTCTAGCACCACAGATTCCGCCACAAAATTTTCACTTCTTTGGACCAGATGGTCCACCATTTCTCTTCTGAGGTCAACAGCCACTGAAGCAGGGCTATTTATGAGGCCACCAGTTGTGTTGTCAATACAGGCTGAAGCCAGACCAGGAAGGAATATCTCTGCTATTTTATGAACTAAATCTGTATCATAAAGATCACAATGGAACGAGGGACCTCCCTCCTTTTCTTCTCCAATTTTATCACGTCTAATCTCCATATCCATCTGCCGGCAGATTCATGCTGAAACTACCTGAAAACATAAAAAGCACTACTGGATGATATGTGATGAAGATTCTATAGAAATCGACTGCAGATGCTACTTACAGTAAATCTTTAGCCCTTGTTTGGCATCTGTTTATAATCCGTCAAACTAATTTATCAACATATTTCACGAGAGACACAGATATGACCAACTTATCCAACACTCATTTCCATCTATTTATAAATTTAAACCAATTATAAACAACTCCCAAACATTCTTTTATACAAATTAATATAATGAGGAGAGATGGAAACTCAATAATACCCGATGTCCAACAACAACAAAGGAATTAAAAATATAAACAAATAATTCTATTTTCCTTTCTTTTTCAAAAACAAAGAATTATTATTTTTGAAGTCTATTTCTAC